GCTAGTCAGCCAAAACAGATCAATTACTGGACGAAATATAGACAAGGAAAACTTGTGACTACCAGATCCTTTCAGACTACAAAACTACACGTACGGAGGACAGACCACGTACTTCCCAAAATAATGGACAGTCCCGCAACCCACGATTGGGCCATGGGGAGCGCAAGTAGTCCTGGCAGCAAAACCAAACCAAGGACACGTCCACTGGTCCCAATACATCTAACTGAATGCAGTCACAAGACCATTCCACTTCTACATCCTGAGATGCAACGATGCAGTGGATACAGTTGGAGATGCAAAGTTCTTTATCACGATAGATTTGGACGCAGGCTACTGGCAGATCAAGATGGCTGCCTCATCAAAAGAGAAAACGGCGTTCTTCGTACCAGATGGCAAGAAGCACTTCCTAGTGATGCCAATGGGGATACTAAGCGCCCAAGCATTCTTTGTCTGTGTAACCATTCAATTCAAGAAAGAATGGCACGAGTTGTACAAACGAGACCCAAAAGCAGCACTACAAAAACTACTTGACATCATCAACCAGCACAGAGCCGCCATCACACTAAACCTGGGCGAAAGCGCCGTCAAGGACATTGAAGCAAAAGTGGCGATCGCGCTATTAGAAACGGACGACATCATGCTATTTGACACCAACATCTTATCACTGATCGCATATTTTGTAGCCACACTTGAAATCCTCCAACGATACAGGGTGACCGTCAACCTAAGAAAAACAAGGTTCCTACCAGCACGGGCAGAATTTGTAGGACGGGACCTACTGCCCAATGGAAACACCCCGGCACAATCCAAGTACTCGACGATCAAAAAGCTATGCCCACCGGCATCATACTTGGACATCCAGATGATCAACGGACTATTTGGATGGTACTCCCAATGGATACCACATCTAGAGGAAAAGATCCAACGGTGGAGGACCATGGTGATGGACAAACCAAAGCCCGGAGAATGCACAAAAGAAGAGGAAGCAGAACAAGTGAAAGCACA